GTGCCATTGCACTCCAGCCTGGGTAACAAGAGCAAAACTCCGTCTCAAAAAATAAATAAATAAAATTTTTAAAAAATAAATAAAAATAAAAATAAATGTTAGAACCAGTCTGCCTATTTCTTTAAAAGACTTGTTGGAAATTTCCTTGGAATCTGCTAATATTGAGATATTTTACACTATTGTAGTTAATATAGAATGGTCTAAAATGTTTTTTGAAGAAGAATGTCTTATTTTCTTTTTTTCCTTCCATTATTTGTATGTCTAGGTAACAAGGCAAATGCAAGAACATGAGCAGGACTCTGAGCTTAGAGAACAAATGTCTGGCTATAAGCGAATGAGGCGACAACATCAAAAACAACTGATGACTCTGGAAAATAAGCTAAAGGCTGAGATGGATGAACATCGCCTCAGATTAGACAAAGATCTTGAAACTCAGCGTAACAATTTTGCTGCAGAAATGGAGAAACTTATCAAGAAACACCAGGCAGCTATGGAGAAAGAGGTGGCTTATTCAGTATTATTAATTCGCTTATTTTAGGTTTTGAATGTCTCAGAATTAACCAACATGGCAATTTGATGTTAGAGTATCTGTTCCCAGGAACTAAGCAATTTGGGGAAAAGGAGAAGCATTTATGTGACTTATATAAAGCTTTCTGTAAAAAAAAAAAAAAGCTTTCTGTAAATTGATATCACAAAAAAAGGTGGCACCTGTGTGTTTTTTCTCTCACTAATTTTGTGTGTGCATCATTTAAAACAAATCAGTCCTAAAACTAATTATTCATTGTAGTAGTCCATTTTATAGTTTTTGTAATAGTCAACAAAATTTTGAGTATGAAAAATTGATGTGTTTTACTGTCAAATACTAGGTCAGGGAACTAATAAGATATGGAAGGAATCATTTCCTGATTCCTGATAGTTTTATAGTGTCGCAGTAGGTAAGTTACTCAGTTATTTTAAGCTTTTCATTTCCTGGTTATCTGAGGAGTTTGCTAAATCTATCATTAGGTGATTTAGATCTCAAAAAGTCATTATTCTGTTTTTTGTATTTTTTTGAAACCACCCTTGAATTTCTGTCAGCATTTTAATAAGAGAATGATTGAAGATTACTGTAATATATAGAGACAATGTTGGAGATTATAAATTATGAAAGATTCAGATTAAGATTGAGTTTCATTTGATTATTGACTAATAGTTGTCATTATTTTACATGATAAAAGCTTTTTTTTTAGGATTTTTATTATGTGAAACCTTTTCTTCTAATGTTTTTGGTGTTCCATTGTTTTCACTTTTTTTGATAGCCATGTTTGTCGAGTAAAATGTAGACTTCTCAGTAAATTCACAACATGTCATTAAAATATGTCCTGGTAGTCTGCAGTGAGGCATTATTTATCATAGCTACCCTGTTCTCCCTTTTCACAAAAAAGGAATCATTCTCATAGTAGTAGGGACTTTGGCAAAATAATTGATGGTAGAAATAAATATTTAATTTTGAAATAATTAGATAAAACAATGTACAGATATTTCAAATCCTCTGGACATTGGATTTTTTTTTTTTTGAGATGGAGTCTCCCTCTGTGGCCCGGGCTGAAGTGCAGTGGCGCAGTTTTGGCTCACTGCAACCTCCACCTTCCAAGTTCAAATGATTCTCCTTCCTCAGCCTCCTGAGTAGCTGGGACTATAAGTGTGTGCCACCATGCCTGTCTGATTTTTGTGTTATTTTTATTTTAGTAGAGATGGGGTTTTACCATGTTGATCAGGCTGGTCTCAAACCCCTGACATCAGGTGACCTGCCTGCTTCGGCCTCCCAAAGTGCTGGGATTAAAAGCACGAGCCACCACACCTGGCTGATATTATTTTTAATAGCTTAGGAAGAGGCAATACTAACATATTTAGGAAAACAATTTCTGAAGCAGATGTGCAATGTGATTACAAATTTGTTTTAAAACTATATAACCAAGATGGGCACAGTGGCTCACACCTCTAATCCCACTACTTTGGGAGGCCAAGGTGAGAAGATTACTTGACCCCAGGAGTTCAAGACCAGCCTGGGCAACATAGGAAGACTCTGTTTCCGCAAAAAAATAAAAAAAAATAGCTGAGCATAGTGGCATATGCCTGTAGTTCCAGCTACTCAGGAGGCTGAGGTAGGAGGACCACTTGACTCCAGGAGGCTGCTGCAGCGAGCCATGATTGTACCACTGCACTCCAGCCTGGGTGACGGTGAAACCCTGTAACATATCTTTTGAGACAGGGACTCGCCATGTTACCCAGCTGGCCTTGTTACCCAGCTGGCCTTGAACTCCTGAGTTCAGGTGATCCTCCTGCCTCGGCCTCCCAAAGTGTTGGGATTACAGGCATGAGCCAACCATGCCTACTTAATTATATACATGCATATTTACATATGCATACAAACACACACACACACACACATATATATTTGAGACATGTACATTTATAGAAAAAATTAGAGGCTGGGTGTAGTGGATCACCTGAGGTCAGGAGTTTGAGACCAGGCTGGCCAACATGGTGAAATCTTGTCTCTACTGAAAATACAAAAAATTAGCTGGGTGTGGTGACACACCCCTGTAGTCTCAGCTACTTGGGAGTCTGAGGCAGGAGAATCACTTGAACCTGGGAGATGGAGGTGGCAGTGAGCCAAGATCATGCCACTGCACTACAGTCTGGGTGACAGAGCAAGACTCTGTCTCAAAAATAATAATAATAAAAGAAAACATTAGAAAAGATAACGCACCAAAATGTTTACATCAGTTATCTCTAGATACTAAAATTATGTAAGTTTTTTCTTGTTTTTCTGTATTTTGTAAATGTTCTACAATGAACATATATTGCATATAGAATCAGAAATAAAATATAGCATTTGTTTTGTTGCATTGAGGGTTGGGAGGAGGGTATACTTCTGTTCAATGAAATAAGAAGTTGAAAACATTTTTGACCCTGTAAGAGATCAACATTTCAAAGATGAATTTCATCTTACTGATTCTATGAAGTTCAAATAAGGATGCCAAGTAGCACATGTTTATAATTTGGTTCAATCTTTTATTTTGATGTTTCTAGTGATTTTTTGTTCTTACGGAAAAATGGTATTCTTAGTGATGTATATTAAACTGCTGCTTTAACTCTATCTACCTAATTTGATTCATTTTTTAAATTTCATATAGGCTAAAGTGATGTCCAATGAAGAGAAAAAATTTCAGCAACATATTCAGGCCCAACAGAAGAAGGAACTGAATAGTTTTCTAGAGTCCCAGAAAAGAGAGTATAAACTTCGAAAAGAGCAGCTTAAAGAGGTACTTATGTCGTTAAAGTTTTCAAGCAAATTATCTGCTTATTAATTACATCCAATGGTGATTAACTCATAGAACCATTAGGATAAAATTATCTTTTGTTGTTTGTGGCCACTAAATGGGTATTAGTTTAAATGATGACATTGATTATAATCTTACCCTTAACTGAGTTATTTAGTTGAGTAAGATCTAAAATGAATCATTTCCTGCAAATATACTTTATGTTTTTATTTTTTATATGTATTTTTTGAGACAGTCTTGTTCTGTTCCACGGCTGGACTGCAGTGGCACAATCATAGCTCACTGCAGCTTCGACCTCCCATGCTCAAAGCAGTCCTGCCTTAGCCTCCCGAGTAGCTGGGCCACAGGCACACACCACCACTCCTGGCTAATTATTAAATTTATTTTTTGTAGAGACAGGATCTTGCCATGTTGCCAAGGCTGGTCTCAAACTCCTGGCTCAAGCAGTGTGCCCATGTTAGCTTCCTAAAGTGCTGGGATTATAGGCATAAGCCACCGCACCTAATCACATTTATTACTTTAAAAGTAAACAGTAATATCTTACTTTTGGATCAGAACATTATAATTGTTCTTATGTCAGTTTATATGTAGAATAAGAGTAAGTGGGATATTTGCTTATCAGTTTTTTTTGAAGTAGAATATGCTGATTCTTTCTTTGTGACTACAGGGTTTCATATTGGCCCTTTCTTTTGCTGCCTTTTTATGTTGTAGAGACAAGTCTCACTCTGTCGAACAGACTAGAGTGCAGTGGCGCGATCTTGGCTAATCTTGGTTCACTGCAACTCATCCCCCACATCAATACAGGTGTGTGCCACCATGCCTGGCTAATTTATATGTATATATTTTTAGTAGAGATGGAGTTTCAACATGTTAGCCAGGCTGGTCTCAAACTCCTGACCTCAGGCAATCCACCCACCTCAGCCTCCCAAAGTGCTGGGATTACAGGCATGAGCCACCACGACTGGCTTTTGTGCTACCCTACCCACCCCTTTTTTTTTTTTTTGAGATGGATTCTTACTCTGTCGCTCAGGCTCGGGTGCAGTGGTGCAATCTCAGCTCACTGCCACCTCTGCCGCCGAGGTTCAAGCAGTTCTCCTGCCTCAGCCTCCTGAGTAGCTGGGATTTCAGGCACCTGCCACTGCTCCTGGCTAATTTTTGTATTTTTAATAGCGGTAGAGTTTCACCATATTGACCTCATGATCCACCCACCTTGGCCTCCCATAGTGCTGGGATTACAGGTATGAACCACTGTGCCCAGCCAACAGCTTCTTAAAGAGGATCATTATTCAAGATGGTCATCAGGACAAAAAAATGATACGTCTTTTAATCTATCCCTGCGTCTTACAGGCTGATTGAAATTTTTGGTCCCTCCATATAATTAGCACATTGTGATACATCAGTTGATTTTGATAAAATAAGTATAATCTACTAGATACTAATGCTTTTTGTGTGTATAGGAATTTACCTTATAATCAGATATGTACGTCTTGTGTATATATTGGTGGCACGAAGACTTGCTCTATACAAAACTCACTCTGCCAAGTGAGCTTCATTGACAAGATTTTTCCAACACTAAAGGGTATAACTTCTAATAAATTCCCATGACTATAATTCCAAAGCCAATGATTCTCAGTAGAAAGGAAGGGACATATCAGAGTCTTGGTGGTGAAAGTTCCCTGACAGAAAATTTTGAAAAAGATACCCAGGTATGGCCAGGTGCAGTGGCTCACACCTGTAACCCCAGCACTTTGGGAGGCCAAGGAGGGTGGATCACTTGAGGTCAGGAGTTCAAAACCAGCCTGCCCAACATGGCAAAAATCCCGTCTCTACTAAAAAATAAAAATTGGCATGGTGGCACACACCTGTAATTCCAGCTACACGAGAGGGTGAGGCAGGATAATTGCTATAAACTGGGAGGTGGATGTTGCAGTGAACTGAGATTGTGCCACTGCACTGCAGCCTGAGTTCAAAGCAAGAGTCTGTCTCAAAAAGAAAAAGATAACCAGGTATAATACTCTACACATGTGCCCATGTTATTCCTTTCTCTTTCCATAGTGTGCATACACATAAACTTTTAAGTACTAATTTATGTGCCTTTTATTTGTATGCGTTTGTATATTTTATTAACTAAAGGGAAAGACCATGAGGTCATCTAGTAGTCTCTGAAAAATGATCCTATACCTAAGAAAGATGCACTATTTATGTTCTGAGCAATGTTGATGGTTTTTTGTTTTGCTTTTTGAAACAGGGTTTTGCTCTGTCACCTAGGCTGGAGTACTGTGGCACACACACACTGTTCATTGCAGCCTTGACCTCCCAGGCTGAAGCAGTCATCCCACCTCAGCCTTCCAAGTAGTGGGAACCACAGACGCACATCACCATGCCCAGCTAATTTTGTAATTTATTTTTTTGTAGAAACAGTGTTGCCATATTCCCCAAACTGGTCTCAAACTGGCTCAAGCAGTCCTCCAGCCTTGGCCTCCCAGAGTGCTAGGATTACAGACAGATGTGAACCACCATGCCTGGCCATAGAATGCTAATACTAGTATATTTTTTATCTAAAAAGTATCAAGGCCAGAGTGGTGGGTGGCTCATGCTTTTAATCCCAGCACTTTGGGAGGCTGAGGTGGGAGGATTGCTTGAGACTGGGAGTTCAAGACCAGCCTGGGCAACATGGTGAGACACTATCTCTACAAAAAAACAAAAAATTAGCCAGGCACGGTGGCACACACCTACGGTCTGAGCTACTCAGTAGTCTGAGGTGGGAAGATCACTCAAACCTGGGAGGTCCATGCTGCAGTGAGCCGAATTCATGCCAATGCATTCCAGCCTAGGTCACAGAGCAAAATTCTGTCTTAAAAATTCTAGAGTTTGCTTTGTTGAGTATATCACCAGTTTTTTCACATTGCTTAATATAAATGCATTTTTATTGAGATAGTTTGTGAGTTGGTATTTAAACAATGTAAAATCATGAGTTTTGATTTGTTCAGTCGTTATTAATCCTGAAAATTAAATACCATTCATAAAGTAGGTTTCTATTCTCCCGTGATTTTATTTTCCATTTAATTTCCAGTTTGAGTCCTTCCATAATTTTACCAAAAATGAAGGTTGTCAAAAACCAAGAAGTGAGATACTTAACTTTATTTTTGCCCTAGTTCATGCATGATTTTTACCTGAAAGCACTATCTTCTGTCTCTTTTTGGGAAGGTTTTAAAGAAGGATATGTTTTACTTTATTAACCAGTCATCGTGTCGAAGTTAGGAACCATCAGAAATGTAGCTGTGCAGAGATAAAAGTTACACATGTTTTCTGGTGTATATATCTCTTTATTTTCCGATTTAGTGGGTAACTCGAAAAAGATGTAAATACTACCTGCCTTCTAGAGGTCATTGCCCTGCGTGAGCATTAGAGAAGAAATACACTTAAGAACTTTTATTTAAAATTTACCAATACAAAATGATAACATCCACATAGGTAATTTTTATGGCTGTTTTTTTTTTTTTTTTTAGATGGAGTTTCACTCTGTCGCCCATGCTGGAGTGCAGTGGCGTGATCTTGGCTCACTGCAACGTCTGTCTCCTGGGTTCAAGCGATTCTCCTGCCTCAGCCTCCCAAGTAGCTGGGACTATAGGCGCCTGCCACCACGCCTAGCTAATTTTTTTTGTATTTTAATGGAGACAGGGTTTCACCATGTTGGCCATGCTGGTCTCAAACTCCTGACCTCAGGTAACCCACCCACCTCAGCCTCCCAACGTGCTGGGATTACAGGCGTGAGCCACCGCACCTGTCCTCTCTGTTTTTTGCGACATAGTGTCACTGGAGTGCAGTAGTGCAATCTCGGCTCACTGCAACCTCTGCCTCCTGAGCTTAAGCGATTCTCCTGCCTCAGCCTCCTGAGTAGCTGGGACTACAGGTACACACCACTACACCCAGCTAATTTTGTATTTTAGTAGAGATGGGGTTTCGCCATGTTTGCTAGGCTGGTCTCAAACTCGTGACCTCAGGTGAGATCAATAAGCCACCGTGCTCAGCCCTATTTTTGTGTATTTTTCACTGAGTTGTTTTTTATATTGCCAGGAGCTAAATGAAAACCAGAGTACCCCCAAAAAAGAAAAACAAGAGTGGCTTTCAAAGCAGAAGGAGAATATACAGCATTTCCAAGCAGAGGAAGAAGCTAACCTTCTTCGACGTCAGAGACAATACCTAGAGCTGGAATGCCGTCGCTTCAAGAGAAGAATGTTGCTTGGGCGTCATAACTTAGAGCAGGACCTTGTCAGGGAGGTAAGTTTGAATGATGAGAAATTTTAAATCCTGTATCTAAATAATCTTTCCTGAAAATACTCCAATCCCATTCTAGTCTCAGGGACTTTGCATTTATACTTGCCTCTGTCTGAATCATTCTTCCCCAGATATTGACATAGATTGTTTGCTCCCTGTATGCTTTTACTCAGATGTCATTTCCTCAGAATCTCTTTCTTAACCACCAACTTTGTTTTTTTTTTTTTTTTTTAGACAGAGTCTTGCTATATTGCCAAGGCTGGAGTGCAGTGGCACCATCTTGGCTCACTGCAACCTCCGCCTCCTGGGTTTAAGTAATTCTTGTGCCTCAGCCTCCCAAGTAGCTAGGATTACAGGTGTGCACCACCACACTCAGCTAAGTTTTGTATTTTTAGTAGAGATGGGCTTTCGCCATGTTGGCCAGGCTGGTCTTGAACTCTTGGCCTCATGTGGTCTGCACACCTCAGCCTCCTGAAGTGCTAGGATTACAGATGTGAGCTGCCATGCCCAGCCTTAACCAACTAACTAATACATTCTTCTTCCTTCTTGAAATATTGTTCTTTGCAGCTGGGTGCGGTAACTAATCCTAACACTTTGGGAGGCCAAGACAGGCAGATCACTTGATCCTAGGAGCTTGAGACCAGCCAGGGCAACATGACGAATCCCTATCTCTACAAAAAATATATATGTACAAAAAAATTAGCTGGGTACAGTGGTGTGCACCTGTAGTCCCAACTACCTGGGAGACTGAGACATGAATATTGCCTGAGCCCAGGAGGTTGAGGCTACAGTGAGCCATGATCATGCCACTGCACTCCAGCCTGGGCTACAGAGCAAGACCCTGTCTCAAACAGACAGCTAACTAACTAAATACATATATTGTTCTTTGCGTATCTCTTTCTCACATGAACATGTGTGTGTTCACAAAAGCATGTGTTTCTTCAGGGTAGGGAAGTTGTCTCCCAGCTTCTGATTCATAGTAGGCATTCAATAAATATTTATTAACTAATCCACAACTGAAAAATGAAAAATATTGATTTTATTTTTATCTTTATTTTTTATTTTTTTGAGAGAGTTTGCTCTTTTGCCCAGGGTCAAGTGCAGTGGCAGGATCTTGGCTCACTGCAACCTCTGCCTCTTAGGTTCAAGCCATTTTCCTGCCTCAGACTCCCAAGTAGCTGGGACTACAGACATGTGCCACCATGCCCAGCTAATTTTTTTTCTTTTTGAGTTGGAGTTTTGCTCTTGTTGCCCAGGCTGGAGTGCAATGGTGTCATCTTGGCTCACCGCAACGTCTGCCTCCCGGGTTCAGATCAAGCAGTTCTCCTGCCTCAGCCTCCTGAGTAACGGGGATTATAGGCATGCACCACCACACCTGGCTAATTTTGTATTTTTATTAGAGACGGGGTTTCTCCTATGTTGGTCAGGCTGGTCTCGAACTCCCGACCTCAGGTGATCCACCCACCTCAGCCTCCCAAAGTGCTGGGATTAAAAGGCTTGATCCGCCGGGCACGGTGGCTCACGCCTGTAATCCCAGCACTTTGGGAGGCCGAGGCGGGTGGATCACGAGGTCAAGAGATCGAGACCACCCTGGTCAACACGGTGAAACCCCATCTCTACTAAAACTACAAAAAATTAGCTGGGCATGGTGGCGCGTGCCTGTAATCCCAGCTACTCAGGAGGCTGAGGCAGGAGAATTGCCTGAACCCAGGAGGCGGAGGTTGCAGCGAGCCGAGATCACGCCATTGCACTCCAGCCTGGGTAACAAGAGCGAAACTCCGTCTCAAAAAAAAAAAAAAGTCTTGATCCACCTTGCTAGACCTAATATTTGTATTTTTAGTAGAGATGGGGTTTCACCATGTTGACCAGACTGGTCTCGAACTCCTGACCTCAAGTGATTTGCCTGCCTCGGCCTCCCAAAGTGCTGGAATTACAGGCATGAGCCACCACACCCAGCCCAAAATTTTTTTTTTAAATTGGCTGGAGCCAGGCGCAGTGGATGTGCCTGTAGTCCCAGCTATTCAGGAGTCTGAGGCAGGAGGATCTCTTTAGTCCAGGAGTTCTGGGCTGCAGTGCGCTGTGCCGATTGGGTGTCCGCACTAAGTTCGGCATCAATATGGTGACCTCCTGGGAGCAGGGGACCACCAGGTTGCCTAAGGAGGGGTGAACCGGCCCAGGTCGAAAACAGAGCAGGTCAAAACTCCCGTGCTGATCAGTAGTGGGATTGTGCCTGTGAATAGCCACTGCACTCCAGCCTGGGCAACATAGCAAGACCCCATCTCTATTTTTTTTTTTATAAAAAAAAGAAAAAAGAAAAAAAATCGCCTGGACATGGTGGCACTTACCTGTTGTCCCTATTACTCAGGAGGCTGAGGCAGGAGGATTGCTTGAGCCCAGGAGCTCTTGGCTACAGTGAGGTATGATTGTACCACTGTACTCCAATCTTTGTGACAGAGTGAGACCCTGTCTCTAAAAATGAAAATTAAAAATCTGGCCGGGTACAGTGGCTCATGCCTATAATTCCAGAACTTTAGGAGTCCGAGACAAGTGGAACACTTGGGGTCATGAGTTTGAGACAAGCCTGGCCAACATGGTGAAACCTCATCTTTACTAGAAATACAAAAATTAGCCAGGCATGGTAGTGCTTGCCTGTAATCCCAGCTATTTCGGAGGCTGAGGCAGAAAAATCACTTGAAACCAGAAGGCGGAGGTTGCAGTGAGTCAAGATGGCACCATTGCACTCCAGCCTGGACAACAGAGTGACACTTGGTCTCAAAAAAACATCTTTTATTTACTGATTTGATTCTGGATATGTGTGTGTTATGTTATTTGTTTATTTTTTTTATTTTTTGAGTCGGAGTTTTGCTCTTGTTACCCAGGCTAGAGTGCAATGGCGCAATCTCGGCTCACCGCAACCTCCGCCTCCTGGGTTCAGGCAATTCTCCTGCCTCAGCTTCCTGAGTAGCTGGGATTACAGGCACGCGCCACCAGGCCCAGCTGATTTTTTGTATTTTTAGTAGAGACGGGGTTTCACCGTGTTGACCAGGATGGTCTCGATCTCTTGACTTCGTGATCCACCCGCCTCGGCCTCCCAAAGTGCTGGGATTACAGGCGTGAACCACCGCGCCTGGCTATATTATTTAATTAATTAAATTAAAATAAAGAAAGCCAGTTATATGCCTAAAACATATATTGTTGTTCAGTTTTTAAAACTGTATGTTTTTGTATAATAAACTAATCAGAATAAACTTGGGGAAGGTTGAGAAGCACATGCACCAAACTGTTGGCCTCTGGGGAGAGAGTTTGCAAAGGCAAAAGGAGCAAGATTTTTACATTGTAGATGTTAAGTGTTTACTTGTTTCCAATATGAAACAAAAATTTAAGAATCTATTTAAAAACATTTTAGACCCCTGTGAGGTCTAAAGTAAAGGAATAACATTTATTGTGTACCATGTGTTATGTATTATTCTGAGAACTTTCTGGTTTTTGACTCATTTCATCTTCACATTAAATCTGTACAATAGCTATCTTATATGCACTTGAGAAATGATGAAACTGAAGCACAATTAGTTTAACTGAGAGACTCATTGCTCACAAGTAGCAGAGCCAGAATTTAGAAAACAGGCAGCACAGCTCTCTAGTGTCCATGTTCTTAATCACTGCACTAACCAGAGTAGACTGCATGTAAAAGAATTGAATAGAATAGACTGGGTGCAGTGGCTCACGCCTGTAATCCCAGCATTTGGGGAGGCCGAGGTGGGCGGATCACAAGGTCAAGAGATCAAGACCATCCTGGCCAACATGGTGAAACCCTGTCTCTACTAAAAATACAAAAAAAAAATTAGCTGGGTGTGGTGGTGCGCACCTGTAGTCCCAGCTACTCGGGCGGCTGAAGCAGGAGAAGTGCTTGAACCTGGGAGGCGGAGGTTGCAG